TAGCAGAAGTATATGTGTGCCAAATGCAGCTTTCTATCTGTTCTGCAAGTACTGTATCCTAACAGTTCCCACTGCATGCCCCATGAGCGAGCCTGTTGGTAAGGCTCAAGTCTTTTTATATATGTAATATCTATCAACAATATATGGTTGTTAGTATTATTATAAGTATAGCCTTATTTTATCCATCATAGGAGTGATGTCTATTTTAGCTCCAAGATATCAGTCTTTTTATTTTTTATTTCCTTTGTGTAAATCTCTGGGCTGGTTCAGCCATCCTCAGCTGCAAGATCCTTTTCTAATTCTGTTTATTAGGAAGATATAAATATTGTTCTAAACCAGGAGTGAGAAACCTCAGGCCTGGGACAGAGGATGTGGCCCTCCAGGCTTCTCTACCCGGCCCTCAGAATTCTCCCCAGACACATCTCCACACGCTTCACACCCTCCTTGAGTATTTGTACCTGGCTGGAATGTGTCCTTGAGCTCCCGATAAGGTCTCTTGCTTGTCTGGATGGAGGAGATAGAGCTGAAGGAGTAGAAACTAGCTTGTTGTACAAAGGAAACATTTCCATTCTTTGCTCTGCCCACTTTTGCCTCTGGCATACGGCTTGCCTAGAAGGTTGTTGTGCTCCTCCACAGCAGCAAAAAGTCAACTATGTTCCCAGTGATTTATGTATATCCGACCTGTTTTACCAGCACCAAAGGACAGTGTTTTAGCCACATAACAATATTGCTGCAGTAGGTTCAGGATAAGAACCATTATGAGAGATTCACAGCTGAGCAGCGATTTGAAGCTGATTTTTTCCACATCCAAACCTAATACTTTATAGCACGATCCTGCTCAGAAGTGAGTCCTGTTGAATTCAGTGGGGTTTACTCCTGCATAACTAGGGTTAGGACTGCTGCTGCTCTACACCAGCTCTAGGAAATATATTGTGTTCAAATTGAGACATACATACCAAAAACAAAACATCCCACCAAACACACACACACACACACACGACACACACACGACACACACAGCTTTGCCTTTCATTGTGGGTGTGTGTCCGCCCGCTTATAAAACATGCAGAAGAAGGGGCAGGGGAAGGATACTGAGCAAATGAAAGATTTGAAAATGAATTGACCATCAGCCTGGGGAAGCAATACTGCAGCAACCAGATTTAATCCTTGTGTGGATCAACGACAGAGACGTGTTGAGAAGTACCGGTACATGTTATTTAACATTTATTTCAAACATATTACAGAACTTGAAAGTTCCCTGTCAACCATCTGAAGAAGGAAAAAAGGCCAGTATGTTGAAACATCAACCCCAGCTAAAGCATGCTGCTGCCAGTCCTGTATTAAGCACCGTTAATGTTTGAGATTATCTCCCCTGCTTCAAATATGACTGGTTGAGTTAATATCTATCTCCACACCTCATTCACATTCAAGATTATCTCCCTAAGCAAGCAATTTGCATATATCACCTCATTAGTATTCTTCAGCAGCTAATCTCAGCTCATGCTGTGCTGGGGATCACCCCCCTCCCTAGTAATTCATTAACATTCAAGCTTACTTTATTATAGCAGGGCTGTCAGATAGAAGGCCAGGGATTGATTAGGCCTCATGGGGTCTCCAGTGTAGCCTGCAGCATCCTTCCACATTCCGCCCAATGCAATCACTTTCAAGGCCACAAGTGGATGCTCTTTCCGCTAGCTAAGCAAAGGGACTCTTGGCAATGGCTGCTATTGCATCCCAGGGCATCAACCCCTCTTGAATTGCATTCATGACTATTAAGTAGTGAAGTGAGCATAGCACTGAGTAACATTTGCTACAATCGGCAACCTAGTTCCTGCTTTCATTTATTTTTGTTCCTTTTTGTTCCAGTGCCCCACCCCCAACACTACTTGCTTTTAAAACATTTCTAGTTCACACATACAAAGGGCTTCACAGGAATCACTCACAAGGAAGTAGGCCAGCGGCAAGGAACTTGTGTGCCTTCAGATGTTGGTGGACTAAAGGTAAAAGTAAAAAGGTAAAGGACCCCTGGATGGTTAAGTCCAGTCAAAGGCGACTATGGGGTTGCAGCACTCATCTCGCTTTCAGGCCGAGGGGCCCATGTTTGTCCACAGACAGTTTTCTGGGTTTTGTGGTCAGCATGACTAAACCACTACTGGCGCACGAAGGACCATAATGAGTGCCAGAGCACATGGATACGCCATTTACCTTCCGCCACAGCGGTACCTATTTATCTACTTGCATTGGTGTGCTTTCGAACTGCTAGGTTGGCAGGAGCTGGGACAAAGCAACGGGAGCTTACCCGTCATGGGGATTCGAACCACCGACCTTCCGATCAGCAAGCCCAAGAGGCTCAGTGGTTTAGACCACAGAGCCAACTCCCATCATCCCTGACTATTGGCCATGTTAGCTGATGAGAGTCAAGCGAACGCTTGCCATATTTCCTGACATGTCCTGGTTTTTGGGTGTAAAAACGGCGTGGGAATTTTTTGCTGAATCGGCAAAATGTCAGGTGAAACCCGGATGTATGGCAACGCGATGGGAAAAGCAGCAGAAACAGCTCAAAAAGCTTAACATCACTATTTGGGGGAGAGGATTTCCTAAAATGGCTCCAGCAACACCTGGAGGACCAATGTGATGCATCCCTGAAGCAAACTCCTACTATGTGCTTTTAAAATGCATATGGTGCAGGTGCCTCTCAAACCTGCCCCTTCAGCAGGACAATAGCATGGCGGAAAATGGGTCTATCCCTTCTCCTCCTCCATGGACCCCATCTGCTGTTAGCCATGGAAAAGCAAAATTTGCTAGCTAAGAAATGTAACAACACAGGTTTTCTTATCAGCAACTCGTAGCAGCTCCCAATGAACAATGTTGCTGCAGCTTAGGGGAATGTGGCTGCACCTCTTCACCTTCCATGGGTGCCCAGAAAAGGGCTTCTGATGTAGACCCCAGGGTCCAGGCATGTTCGTATGGGAAGAGGTGGCCTCCCTGTGCTATTTCGGGAAGAAGGGTACGCTATAAATTTCATAAGTAAACAAGGCTTTATAGATCAAAACTAGAACCTTAAATTGAGTCTGGAAATCTGATGATAATGCTGTATTCTACTGGTATGCAGCGAAGGCAAAATGGTAGCTTTTTTCATGTGCCTCCACCGCAAGAGGTCCAGAGGGTGGTAAAACAAGAAGGGGCCTTTTCTGCAGTGGCTCCCTGTTTGTGGAATGCTGTCAACAGGGAGGCTTGCCTGGCACCTTCATTATACACCTTTAAGCACCAGGGGAAAACGTTCCTCTTCAACCATGCCTTTGGTGGATTAACATCCTATATTTTTCTAAAGTTGTTTATGGGCGGGGAGGTTATTGTTCTGTTCTGTTCTTGTTTTTATGTATTTTGTGTTAACACATTCAATAAATAACAATTAAGCACACAAAAAGTGGAATAAATAAAAGGGGGGAGCCCAGCTCCCGAGGGGGAATTAAAGGATGCACAAGGGGTACACAATCCATAACATTCAGCAGTGTGGATGGGCACTAAGAAGACCCTTGTGGGAATCAGGTCAAAAGTGCACATAGTCCATTCTGTTCTCATAGACTTGCAACTATACACCTCTGGGAAGCCCACAAGCAGGATACTTAGTGTAAAAGCAACTATTCCCACTTGCAGGGGTGAAACTAGGTTTTATTTTACTCAGGTCAAAGACCCAGTTTGGCACACCTACCCATGTGCATTTGAATACAGTACACACTTCTTCCTCTATGGCAATCACTCATAGCTGAGTAAGATTGTCTTCCATGAACACGGTCTTAACAATGAGTCCGTAAATGACTATGGAGGCCCATTTTGGATCCACACATCCTTCCACAGTGGGCACATAGGTTTCTGGGCAGGAGTTGGTCACGGTGAGGGTTTGCCAAGCGTGCCTTCCTCTTAGCATGTTTCTCCCATTCATCCTGAGTTCAAGCTTCAAAGCCCACAACACCTTTGGGAAAGGCTGTTCTCCAACTGGAGCACTTGCAGGGCAGTGTTTCCCAGCTGTTGGTGTTTATACTACATTTTTGTAGATTTGCCTTGAGAGAGTCTTTATACCTCTTTTGTCGACCACCAGCATTAGGCTTTCCACTCAGGCTGGCAGCCTCTGTGGGGGCTTCACCTGGGGCAAAAAAGTTGCAGCTGCTGCACTGCCCACTTGTGTTATCTTCAGCAACTGATATGGCAACATGGCCATTGAGGTGGTGTTCCCTTTTAAGCCAAGGTAAACCTTTGTGCCGATTCTCTCTCTGTCTACTCAGAAGTGAGCCCTATTACAATCAACGAGGCTTAACTCCCAAGTAAGTGAACATAGGTTTGCAGCCTTAATCAACGCCTTCAGAGAGCAGTTGCAGTCTAAAGATGTTTCCAGTGAGAAGGAAGTTCCTTCACAGATGGTGCTAATGGCAGCTGTCAAGTGTGTGTGTCCATGAACATTATTGAGGACAGGATGGTTGAGAACATCTCGAACTGGTCGCCCGAGCAGTCATTTCCCCTGTTAAGCCCCACCCGCTTCTTAGTGTATCCCGTCATTACGCATAATTATTAGACGAAATATATTTAACTTATTCAGCCCTAATTAGCTGCTTCCTGTCGTCAGTTGGGCGGGTTTACTTTTCTCATTTGGCCAATTAGGAACCTGCCCGCTTTGTTTGAATAAGGAAGAACCGGGGGCAGAGCTTTCCCCGCAGCCAGACACTTTTTCGTCGCCTATTGGCTACATCGCTACGTCAAGTTACTATTTCTCCGAGCAGCGTCTCTCGCGCACTCTCACATTCTATTGGCGAAACGGCGCGTCAATCGGAGGATTTGAAATTCGCCCCCACCCAGTTTCTTCCCGCAACCGTTAGCAGATAAACAAACTATCGTCCCTTTAAACGCCGCTTTCACCAAGCGTTCGTATTCAAATCCGTCCAATCAGGCACTATAGCGCCGCCTCTCCACTACGCCTCTCCTCATTGGCTGCCGGCCGTCGCGGACATTGGTTGTCAACGGCTCTCCGCGAGGAGAGCACCCGAGAAGGGAGGGGGGAGGAACGGACCCCCTCCGTTCTAACGGGCCTGATTGGGCGGTTGGGGTTCCAAAGGGGTGTGGCTGGCTTTGGCCGAGGGTTATAAAAACGTTTGCTGGGCACCGGCCACCCTCATTAAAGTGAGGGTGGCATAAGCGAGTTGGTAACAGCGTGGAGAAGGAGGAGGGTGGGGGGAACATCTGGTTTCCCCCCCGTAAATGCATGGGAAAGGTGGAACTTCTTAAACCCTAGTATCTAGCGTTTTTTCAATAGGGGTAGGGGGCTCCTGAGCCAGGTTAGGAGTAGGCGCACGATATTTTAGGTTTAGACTAAGGTGCGTATGTGAGCCCTCTAAAGGTTGTGCTGTTCTACAATCCTGTGCAGACCCTACACAATGGTGAGTGGCTTTTGGCTCGTTTGCCCATGCCTAATTTGAAGTTTTCTCCTTGGTTCTGGGACCCAGCAGAACTTGGTTGGGATTGGTGGCATGTGACTTTCCTGCACAATAACGATCAAAGGTTCAGGGGATGGGTAACATGGGGATCTGTTCATATTTGTGTGCCTGTAGGTAAAATCCAGGAGTATGGAGTGACACCTTTGGCTGCCTGTTTTCAGCTGGGTTCCAAGGTTATGGTTTTGTATTGGGGAAGGGATCTGAGAGTGGGGTTCTGTATAGGATTTGCTTGTAATAAGATACTTGGATTTAGCATTGGAGGTATGTCAGTGTTTGTGGCGCGAGTGGTGAGAAGCCTGTTGAAGTTCTGGTGTAGAGAAAGGGTGGAATTTCCTGATCTAGTGCCAGGCTTAGGATTGTCATGATAGAGGAGGAATCCTAATAGAGGAGCTACTGATGAAATATGAAGAGAAAGTGAAACATTCAGAAGGAGCTTCTCAATTCCTAAAGGAACTCGTCTTAAAATATGGTGAAAGAGGCCCATATTCTTTGGTGTGGAATGAGTACACTGGAAAGGCATTTAAAAATGGAGGTGCAAGCACAACAGATGTAGTGATGCCAGTTTCTCTGAGTATTTGTCTAAATTAAGCAGGGCGGGGAAGCTGTTAGTGGACTCCTACAGCCATCATCTCTGACCATTAGCCATGTTGACTGGGGATGATGGGAGTTGGAGTCCAACAACAGCAAGAGGGCCGCAGGTTCTCCATCCCTGGTTTAAAATGTCTGACTTCATTAGGGTTTTATAAGTGTTTATGGGAGGAATAATTTTTGGATAGGAGGTGTGGGCGGTTACCCACACTGGAAGTCAAACTTGGAAAAAAACTTAATTCCCCACTTGCCACAATATTTTCCATCCTTTGTTACAACTTTGCTCCTCTTGTTTCCTTTCTTGGATGTGTGAGCTGTGGCATCCTTGATGCATGATCCATATGAAAAATGCACATTATTGAGAGTATCAAGGTCTTTAAAAAACCTTCAGATATTTATTTGGGAAAGTAGATTCCTTACAGGGTAAGTAATGCATTTTGATAATAGCCACCTTTGCTTTTCTAGAATTTAATTACATGCCCTGTTTGGATCATATTTGTTGAGGCATATTTTATATTGTTTGATTTATAAGTGAAAGACAGAATGTATTTCTTTCCAGTGCCTTCCAAAATACCTCGTATTTTGTTTGATTTCCAGGTGGAGGGCTAAAGGCCTATTCCTTGCTGCAAACACAGAAAGTCATCACTTGTACAAAATAATACATAATAGAAAAGGTGGATTGTTCTTTTTACATATGGGGAAACATATCTCAGACATTCTTTATTAAGGCTGGAATCCTGGGCATTGAACACCATGAGACTTGCTCCTGAATAAACATACAGGATTGCATTGGGAGGCATCTAGACTTTGCTTTCTGAGTAGTTTTATTTTTTCGTAGTATGAGGATTTAGGAAGATACAGCAGTACTCTGAACAGTTTGTCTTCTCCTGCTCCCCCTTTCTCTCAAAGCAAAATCCTCCATGCTTGCAAACTCTTCTACTCAGTGGAGTTGTAAGAGTACTGCTTTAAGGTCTATAAAGTTGGTTAGCCTTTTAAAAACCTTTTGTCTTGATTTGTTCCAGTCTAGGCCTTTGGTTCCCTTGGGTATATGTTTCTATGTGCAGTGCTGCATACATGTTTTTAAATTTTCATTTTGTATTTGAGACCTGCGCAGTCCTTTGACCTCTTACATGCTTTCAGATGTGTTTAATTGTAAACTCTTTCTCATGGGACGAATCCTTGGCAAGCAGTGTTCTCTCCTCCTCCCCAACCCCACCCCCCAGCAGATGGTTTACACACAGGCAGCAGTTTTGTGTGCAGGGAAGGACTGAGCTTCCATGATAACTTTATTTTTTTTTAATCTATCAAAAGCCATCAGTCGTTTCTCAACACATAGTGTATGTGTGTGTCAGTGGAGGTTAAGCACTTTGTAACTTAAGCAGAAGTGATGACTTTTATGGACGAAATGAAAATGTTCCACGTAGAAAGCCATACATAGTGGTGTGTAATATTTTTCTCCTTGTCAGTGTGTTCTTTATCTGTAAGCTCTTGAGTGTTGGTACTTTATTTTACAGTTACTCCAAAGAGATGCTAGGATGCCTCCTCTGGTGTCTTCCTTTATAGCCAAGGGTGATGCATTTTTGCCATTTAGCATCCTTACTCTTGGTTCTCTCTTGAAATGCCCTTTGGGGGCAGCCTTCCCACTGTTGGTGACTTTGTGTTTTAAGTTCCATTAGCGTGAGCCTGGCATGGAATCTGATTTTTGTTAGCTTTGGAGGATCCCAAGAAAAAAACATCCAGCAACGTGGGACACATTGCTTTGATCCAGAAGGAATCAGAAATGGTATTGTGCAGTGTCCTGTTTAAATGTGGCCTCCTCTGTACTTCTGGTAGAGGAGGCTGTGGATGTAGTTAATTAATTAGACTAGCCTTTCACAACTTTAGGTCCCCAAGTGTTGTTGGACTAAAATCATCCATGGCCACTGGTCCTGCTAGCTAGTTCATCATAATCTGGGGATGCAAGATTGATAGAGAGTCTGAGACTGTGACCAAAAAGGTTTATTTTTCAGTTTTGGGCTACATGTTTTTGTGTCCATGTACGCTACAGTAGTAAAACTTAGTTTCTATTGGGGTCAGAGAGAGAGATGGGAAAGAAGAGCTTCAGGGAGAGCTGGTGCATGTTGGAAGCTAGGTCAGCTTGCTCCTTTTAAAATGGCAAGTGGGCAACCCCTTTAGCACTCTGGAAGACGTATGTGGGCACCTTTAGGGTGTGTGCAGAATTGGTCTGAGAAGCAGAGGCTGCAAATAGCAACCCTGTGATATTGAACTGAGGTGGAGCGTTTGTAGAAATGACAGCCAGGTAACAAAAATTGTACACCCACAAATACACATTGTGTCTGAGGGAAAAGTTAAGGCACACCTTGCCTAAAGACTTTGCGTAACCGAAGTACAAAAGGTTTTCTTCCTTCGCAGTTGTCCTGCTTTTGTATGTCAATGTTTGCTGGCAATGCAGGCCCTTATTTCCTTCTGAGGGTGCAAATGAGGATCTACAGTTGACAGGTGTCAAAATATAAATAAATAGCAATGGGGGGGGCTGTTTAGATGAGGTGTTCTCAGGATTTGGGGGGGGGAGGTGAGAGCAGACTTGCCTTCTCCTGTGTGTTTTCTTTCTCTCTATTTCACTCACTCTCTATCACTCACACTGAAAAAGTGACTAACAGACCAAGAGATCCTGTATTCGTTTGAATGGGGAATCTCCCCTGCTTTGCCAGATTTAATCTCTGTTTTGAACAATCATGGAATCCCTTGCCTTTGTCCATTGGCTTAGTAAGTGAGGAGAGTGAATTGGGAAACTGTAGGCCTGAGGCCTGCTCCCCATCTCTTTCTGGCTACCTCATGTGAGTTGGGGGTCACACACACCATCTGAACAGCCCCGAAGAAAACTGTCATTCAGGTATCTGCTTAATTTGTGTGTGTCTCTGCTTGCTTTCACCCCCGTTTCTCACCTGAAATTAAAAACATACAAACCCGTGTGTGCAAAAGAGGGTTAGAAAAAGCCCAGCTACTCCAGATTTGCTGTGTTTGATAGCTGTGCTGCAATATTGGCAGCAGGCTTTTGAGAAGTCAGAGTCAACTTTTGCTGTGAAAGCTACCTTGCTTGTGTATTTTCTCAATCCATTGTTACATTTTACTCTTGCCTCTTCTCCAAGGAGTTCCAGGGCTGTGCCCATGATTCTTGTATTTCACTCTCCCCGTTTTACCCTCACAATTAAACTGTGAAGTAGGTTGTTCTGAGAGTGTGTGATCGGCCCAAGGTCACGCAGTGGGCTTTGTAACTGAACTTGCCTCTCTGATCCTAATACAGCCCTCCCTGTCCTCTGCACCACACTCACCCACATTGGCTTTTCTCAAGTAGCAGCATTTGCCTTGGGGGTGGAAGGGTTTTACGTAGGATTTGACACTGTCCCCACCAATTAGTACTTTTGAATGCTGGGATTCTTGAGCCTACGTGACTTTGGCTCTTTGTAGCACATCTAGCCTTGTTGTCTTGACAGTTATGAGAGTTTGTGCTCCACCAAAGGACTGCGAGCTCAGGGCTGCAAAGTAGCTGCTTCCCATCCCTTCCTTCCTCAGCCCTGGAAGTTCCACTCAGGCAGTTTTGAGGAGGAATTGTGCCTGTGCTTTCAAGAATTGCCGCTATGAGGGATGTAATATTGCTTTAAAATACTTACCATTGGGCTTCTGATCCCTTTGGAAGCAATTGATAAATGAAACAAGATAAATCAATTTGCGCAAACAAGCTGTTCCTTTTTCTTTTACTCTGTCTAATTTGATGCGCCTTTGCTATTTGGGATGGGTGTGTCTTCATGTCACTCTTCCCATATGTGTTTATTTCTGCCTTGCAACGAAGACTGTATACAGTGTAGTTGCCCATGAGCTTATGCGTGCATATATATATATATATATATATATATATATATATAGTGTTAATTTTAATTTTAAAAAGGGCTCTTCCAGTTTATAAAGCGCCCCTGGTTTTTGCTTGCCATGTGCAGGCAGGTGAGTGGCTGTTCATTTTAATTTGTGCTGTTTTGCCTTGGATCTCTCTCTCTCTGAGCCTGTGTGTGGGTGTGTCTTTTCAGGCTAGAGGTACATGGTTTTTAGTGGAGAGAAATTAGACTGTCTTTGGGTTTTGCAGTCGGGGCTCATCAACAAAAAATTACTTTTAAAATAAGACATGCATAATTCTTGGTGAGTGAGAGTTAATCAGAAGAAAGTGCATTTTGAAATGGATCCTATGTTTTGTCATCATCCTGCTGCATGGGAGCCTACTTGTGAGTAAACATAGGAAGCAGACTGCGTTGCTGCTTGAATTGGCAGGTTCATGTGGGTTATGGGGAGATTACTTAGGAGTAAGCATTTCAAGTGGCATGCTGGCAGAAGACAGTGTTCCAGTGACATGCCTTGGAAAGCAAGTAGCTATTTAATGATTCACTGACTTTGCTGGGAGAAGACTAGGAAGTGGAGGCTTATTTTGGATGATGGTGTTTCTCCACAGGTGTGTGTGTATGTGTGTTCCAAGGCATGTTTTTGTTTGACCCAAGTAAGCTCCTTTTACATGCACTATGCTTTCCTTCCCATTCCCTCCCCCAAGTAAATCTGAGTATTACTAGTGTCTAGAGCTGGCCTTCCTGTTCTGTGTTGCTGGAGGCTCTTGGGTAGACCTGTTGGTCACCCTCTATGCAACTTTTCAGGCATTCTGCAGCACATTGTCACTCCCAATTTTGGTCACCCCTGCCCCCTTCAAAAGCAGCGGGTGGCAGATCCACGCAGGGACTGTATTTCAGCTAAGAACCATATTCTTCTTTGCTTTTCCCTCTCCCACCCTTTCTGTCCTGCAGAATTCCAATGTAGAAAATTTGCCTCCCCACGTGATTCGGCTGGTCTACAGGGAAGTCTCCACTCTGACCTCAGACCCACCTGAAGGCATCAAAGTATTCCCTAATGAGGAGGACATCACAGATGTGCAAGTCACCATTGAAGGACCTGGTAAGAAGGGGCATGTGGGGTTTGCTTTCCGAGACTCCTTTTTTAAAAAAGCATGTGGTTAGGAGGCAGAGGGCAGTACCTGCATCAAGTGCAGCAGAGCTCTAGCTTATGGGTCGTTGTGAAAAGGGCAACAGTGCCAGGTGGCATTGTCCAAGCAAGAATGGAAAGGTGACTCTTTTAAGGGGTTGTGGGGCTCTTCTCCACAGGTAGCGTAAATTTAGCTTCCCATCAATATTCCTATGCTGTCCAGGAGAGCTTGTTCCCATCACCTGCTTCCAAGATGGGGAAAGGAGCTCTCTTCCGCACCTCCTGTGAGGGAATCCAGATACCTTTGTGCTGCTTATAGCATGCAGGTATTTACAGTGGTACCTCTGGTTGCAAACGGGATCTCTTCCGGAGCCCAGTTCGCAACATGAGCAAAACGCGACCCGCGTGTTCACGGGTCGCGATTTGCCACTTCTGCGCATGCGCGTGACATCATTTGGAGCGTCTGCGCGAGTGGTGAAACCTGGAAGTAACCCTTTCCGGTACTGCTGGGTTGCTGCAGGACGCAACCTGAAAAGATTTAACCTGAAGCAAATGTAACAAGCTGTATGACTGTATAATATATATATATAATATATATATTTATATATTCTAACCTTGTGGTTAGAAATAAGACAGTTGGGTGGGGTCTTGTAGGCAGAGGGAAGCTCTGGAACAAAGCTGCAGCCTTGAGCTGTGGCTCAGTGCAGACATAACACTGAAGTAGAATACAGGAGGTCAGGACTGTTGGGGTGTATCCAGTTAAATTACACTCTGAGTAGATGTGTTGAAATTAACTGGCCTGTGCTGATTATGCCCATCGATATCAATGGGTCTAGGGCTAACATTGGAGACAGCCCATTGGGCCAGTGTTCTCTCTTTTAGCAGAAGAGAAGTTTCAATTCTCTAGGAATACCAAGTTCTCAGTTTCCACAGCCCGACCATATACTTTCAGACTTCTAGCAATAAAACCAAATTAACCCCTTTCCCACCCCTGGTTCTAAGAAATGTTCAGGAGGGTCCATATCTACCAAAGTTGAGGTCCACTGGTTTCAACTGGTGAATGAATCCTTGAGCCCCAAACTGGAAATTAAAAGGGAAAAGAAAAATCTAGCCCCTATGAAGCTTGTGCTGAGAGGAATAAAAATATCTGCCTTGCAAGTAGACAAACTTGCCCCAGAAAAGGGCTTGAGGTGAAGGCTAAAAGAAAAAAGAGAAAGAGAGGGGGGGGCAGACATTATTTAGCTCCTTTAAAAAAAGAAGTCTTCAGTATTCAGGAGAGTTGCTGGAGAAAAAGCAAAACTGGGCTAAATAATTCTAAAAAGGAAGCAAAATTAGGGTACACTCTAGTTTGTTTCCTTCAGTTACACACACGTGAATAATAATACTCCTTATTAAAAATTAGCCTTTCATTAATTTATAATGACAATCCCAAAATTCTGGATTGCTTCCTCTCTTTTTCCTCCTCGTACACTAAGAATCCTTCCTTATCACAGTTGGGTTGTAAATATTGTTGAGACCAAGAGGAACCTTGATACTTTTTTGTATCTCTTTTGTACTCTGTCTATCTGATTTCTCAACCTCACTGCCCAAAGTGGAATCTTCTACAGTATCTCTAAACGTGGTTTTTCAGAGAGAGAAGAGTTATCTAATGTAACAGAGGTATGGTGGGCTTTATCTAACATTTGGGACATTCTCTCTTAACTGAAGAGAAGATTCAGTTCTCTTGAAATACCAAGTTCTTAGTTTCTGCAGCAAGACCATATAATGTCTGTCTTCTAGCAATAAAACCACACCAAAAATAAAATGGGAAAATGGAAACGTTTTGCGTTTTAATATAACACACTCATAATTTCATCCGGGCCTATATAAACTAACTTTTAACTATTAACTTTTAAAATGTCATCTTTTTTTGTCTTGTGACCAACCAGAGCGTTCTAAAAGATAAACCTCTATTCCCTGAGTTTATTCTGTGTATACTTAGGCAGCCACCAAATAGCATTCAAAGGCATCATTCACTTCACTCCTGCAGTGCCCATTTCATGTTTTATAACCCTCTTTCATCCCATATCCTATGGTTTGATATTTGCTATGCTTTTCTATTAACCACTACATTCCAGTTTAATTAGAAATAAATAAGGAACACGGAACATGCCAAGTCACAAATACTGGATCAATGCATTAAGTTCTGGGACTTCAGATACAATACATGAAAAGAAGAACAGAGGTTTTCTCTGAATTTAAGCAGGGCTGAATCAGGAATAAAAGTACATATTCAACGGTAATAGGAGAAAGTTCTGCTAATCCAGAGAATTGAGGATTATCAACATCATCAACCATTGTTGCTTCAGAACACTGTCCAAGAAAATAATAATTTAGGATTCAAATTACTTTCCCCTTCTTTTCAGTGAAAATTCCACAGTCTTTGACAAGGCATATCATTTGTTGGGGGGGGTGTTATAATGCTGTGGTCTAAACCACTGAGCTTGCTGATCATAAGGTTGGCAGTTCGAATCTGCCCGATGCAGTGAGCTCCCGTTTCTCTGTCCCATATCCTGCCAACCTAGCAGTTCGAAAGCACACCAGTTCAAGTAGATAAATAGGTACCACTGCAGTGGGAAGGTAAATGCATTTCCATGTGCTCTGGCATTCATCACGGTCCTCTGTGCGCCAGTAGCGGTTTAGTCATGCTGGTCACATGACCTGGAACGCTGTCTGTAGACAAACACCGGTTCCCTCGGTCTGAAAGTTTAGATGAGTACCACACCCCATAATCTCCTTTGACTGAACTTAACTGTCCAGGGGTCCTTTACCTATAATGTGTTTGAGAGGGGGGAGTTATTGGATTGTTCTTGTTTTTATTTTGATTATGTATTCTATGTTTTTATATCATGATTTTATCTTGTGAACCACCCTGAGACCTGCGGGTGTAGGGTGGTATACAAATTTTTACAAAATAATTTGTTCCCAACATGTTACAGAGCACCAACCACATCATAAAACACACTCAGGTACCAATAGGTTGGCCAGCATCTTTTTAGTTCCCAAGGTCTTGTGGATCATTGTGGATCATCATGGCTGCCGTAGAAGATGGAATCTAGAGGAGGCCATATTGGCGTTCTCAAAAAGTGGAGAAGTGGTCATACGGGAAAAGGGAGCACTCCTTGGGATCAGGCAGCCAAAAAAGCAAAATAGTTAGCTGGACATCAGAGATAACTGAGCTTGTGGTTTAAACTATGTGTGGGGTACAATGAGTGGGAGATGCCATCCTGCAGTATTGCTGAGACAACCCTTCTCCTGTTCCTGCTGCAGAGGGTACCCCATATTCTGGTGGCCTCTTCCGCATGAAGCTCATCCTCGGCAAAGACTTTCCAGCCAGCCCACCCAAAGGCTACTTCCTGACCAAAATATTCCACCCCAACGTGGGGGCCAATGGCGAGATCTGCGTCAACGTCCTCAAGAAGGACTGGAAAGCGGAACTGGGCATCCGACATGTCCTGCTGGTGAGTGGTGGTTTTTACTGGGTTACATCCCAAAAGGCTATGTTTGGGGCCTGAATTGGGTTGCAACCCAAAATTGTTAATATTGTTAATTCACCTGGTCAGACTTATCGTCCGGTACTTTCTATACTGACTGGCATTGGTGTGACAGGGTTTCAAGTAGGCAGATACATTTCTTTTGCCTGACGCCTAAGATCCTTTCAATGGGCAATACCAGGGATTAAACTGCATGCAAAACACGTGTCTCGCCTCTGAGCCATGTTTGCCCCTGTCATTGGGAATATGACCATTTTCTTATGGGTTCTTCCCCTGCAAGTGGATAGGTCTAGGCAACTCTCTTAATATTTTGGCAGTATGTTGAAGTATTCAAATTTAACGAATCAGTTAAAAGGGAGGTAACGAGTAAGTTAAAAACACCTTAGTCAGCGGCCATTAAAACTTGCTCTTTTCTAGGTTTTCTACCATCTGTCCAGTCTTTAAGTTAGGTAACTTTTGAAGCAACAGAGATAGGACTCTGTGGGAGCTCGGGATAGATGATGCCACAGTATTTTGGTGGTCCTGGGGCCCCAGAATATTACCTGCTTTTTCCTGGATTTGAATTGCAGCTCTCCATCATGGTGACTAAATAAAAAAACAGACTGCAATGCAGGACAGTTCCTGTTGTCTGTTCCGCCTCAGAATGTACGAGAGAAGAATCTTGCTTTGAAATCATCATTATAATATCCCTGCTAGTAAAATGCTTGTACATCAGGAAGGTTGCTTGCTGCTTCCTTAGCCTTTTCTCTAACGCATTCACTTCCCACAAGCTTTGAGCTTTTGACAGGCACTTTCAAACCAGCAACACTCCTTTTTCACAAGCACATATCTGTACCGAGGTGATAATAGAGTACCTTGTTCCTGGCTCCACTTTTTAATCTGAATCTGGTGTCGGGCTGAGAGTGAGAAGCTTCCGCAGGCAGAACTCAGCTCTGCTTCAGAGTTATGCCCCATCTCCAGAACTGAATGATTTCCAAAGGGCAACTTACAACACATGGGCAGCTTGATGCCCTCCAGAAATTTTTGTCTACAATTTCCATCAGCCCCAACTGCTGGCCATGTCAGCTGGTGCGGCCAAAGGGAGCAGCATTACGAAACATCAGGAGAGCACCACATTGGGGAAGGCAGCCAGTGTGGCATAATGGTTAGAACGCTGGACTATGACCTGGGAGACCAGGGTTCAAATCCCCACTCAGCCATGAAGCTCTTAGCCTAATCTACCTCATGAGGTTGTTGTGAGAATGAAATGGGGAGAAGGAGAACCTTGTACACCACATTGACCTCCTTGGAAGACAAAGGTTGTACAGTGGTACCTCAGGTTAAGTACTTAATTCGTTCCAGAGGTCCGTTCTTAACCTGAAACTGTTCTTAACCTGAAGGACCACTTCAGCTAATGGGGCCTCCTTCTGCCGATGTACCGCCGGAGCCCGATTTCTGTTCTTATCCTGAAGCAAAGTTCTTAACCTGAAGGACTATTTCTGGGTTAGCAGAGTGTGTAAGCTGAAGCGTATGTAACCTGAGGTACCACTGTATATATAAATGGAATAAATAGAAATAAATCCAGGCAATGTGTAAAAGGGTGCCTAGCAGCTTGTGACCCACTGATTGCTGACAGGGGTCAGTGCATCTCTATCCTCACTTTAGCAGTCCAAAGACAACCGGTTTGTGAAGCAGATTTATTGCTGGTGCAGAGGGAAGCAGCAGCCAAGCAGTGGCTGAGACCATGTTGGTCTTCCTCCTGTCCTGCTGCTGCTCCTGGGAGGGAGTAGGCACAAGTTCCTGAGATGCCCTTGGCTGGCCGATGGCAGAGCTCACTGGATTCTTTCCCTCAAATAATAATAATAATAATAATAATAATAATAATAATAATAAATTTATTATTTAAACCCTGCCCATCTGACCGGGCCTCCCCAGCCACTCTGGGTAGCTTCTAACAGGATATAAAAAGCACAATAAAAGATCAGTCATTAAAAACTTCCCTAAACAGGGCTGCCTTCAGATGTCTTCTAAAAGTCAGATAGTTGTTTATTTCCTTGACAGCTGGTGGGCGACTTTTCCGCAGGGTGGGCACCACAGCCAAGAAGGCTCTCTGCCTGACACTCTGATAATGTCTCGCCTTCCCCTGGTTCTGACTGCCCTCGCTCCTTGTTCCCCTCGTAGACCATCAAGTGTTTGCTGATCCATCCCAATCCAGAATCGGCCCTGAACGAGGAAGCAGGGCGCCTCCTGCTGGAGAACTATGAGGAATATGCCTCCCGGGCCCGCCTCCTGACGGAGATCCATGCCCAGCCTTCGTCCGGCCTGCGCACCAAGGACCCTGCCGAGCCTTGCTCTTCTTCGGCCGGTGCCTCTGGGGAAGGCCCCATGGCTAAGAAACATGCAGGCGACAGGGACAAGAAACTGGCCTCCAAGAAGAAGACCGACAAGAAGCGAGCTCTCCGGCGGCTTTAGGGGCCAGCGGGGACGGGGTGGGGTCTGGCGCACAGGGTGGGTGGGTGTGGTGGTTCCACAAGTACATTCTCCATTTCTCCTCTCTCTTCCTCTCCCACCTTCACGTTGAGGCTGCAGTCCAAGTCTGTCTCGCCCTTGTCAGATTTTTCTTCTTTTCCGTCTTTAAGTTATTTAAATTATAAAAGCAGGAAAATCTATTAAATGCCTTTTTTTTCTTAAGAAGGCTCTTAATGTTTGGTTGTGCCATCATCTAAAACCAGCGGCCCATGTTGAGAATGCTCTGCCCTTACCGTTAAAAAGGATGTTTAATAGAAGCGCAGAGGAGCATTGAAATAAGAGGATCGGAAATGGGGAGCATCTTCCTTTTTGACGGAGGGCTTTAAAAAGAGGTTGCTGCTTTGTGGTTTAGGGGGGGGGGAAGATATCAAAGAAGAGACTTTATAGAGGTAGATTGTGAACCGTGAGGAGCAGGTAAAGGGAAAGAGGATTCTTTACTGTTGGACTTCAGGATTGCTTTGCTGAAATTGGTTGATGAAGGATAACAAGAATGTTTCTCTGCACAACACATAATTCAGGAATTCATTGCTCCGAGTTGTGGCTTTGACCACTAACTTAGTTGTTTGTTTTCAAACGGAAGCTAGGCAAATCTAAGCAAAGAAGGGTCTTTCGATGTGTGTGCTAGCCATGCAAGCTAAATGTGACCTCTGTTTAGAGGCAGTATGTTGGGGTGGCCTTGGGCTTTCCTGGGAACATCTGGTTATCTGCTTTTCAGGCCTTTGGCGTGATCCAGCAAGGGAGTTCTTAAGGCAAGTCAGCCGAGCAGAGTGATCGCCCTCTGTGTCCAAATGAATTCACTCATTCAAAATACTGGTCTCTGCATCCCTTACCACCGCGGCCCCTTAAACTGTCCTATGGCACCGGTGTTAAGCTACCTTGATGTGGGACGAGGTGATGAATGCTGGGATTTGTTATGACACGAGGGGCATCTGAGCTGTTCCACACATTAGCTGGCAAGTACTTAGGTGATTTAATGGAATGTATGAATTTCTTCTCCCTCCATCAGGGTCCCAGTTGTATGCATTTGTGTCATAAAAATGCAGGTGTAGCTTGGGACAATACTAGTACGGTTGTCCTTACCCAGTTCTGTAGTTTACACACACACCCCACTCAGCAGTACGCAACATGCCAGCAGCATAAGGTAGCCCACATGGTTTTTTAAGGGCCTTGTGGTGCACCCTCTGGCTTGGGACAGTAGCAGGCAGTCAAGGGGCTGTTTGGTTTGACAGGTCTCCACAGTTCCTTGTATGCTAACGTGCACACACATTTCTCATGGGCTATACCGCATGGTGTGCGCTTCTTTGTGCACACAGAACGTTAACAACTGTCTTCCCTCCCACAATTGCCACAACAGGGCTAGGGGGAAAACAGATCTGGCTTTTTAGAAGTGTTTTTCTTCCTCCGTAGTTTTTCCTCTGTAGCTTATATTTACTATTTTATTAAATAATTTTTAATAATGTTTATTTGAAATATTTTTGTGTAAAGACATTTTGAGGTTCACCTGAAAAGCAGTATATAAATATTTTTTGAATATACCACTTTTCTAAAAGGCATGGTGCAGAGTGGTGTACAAAATTAAAAGCAGAAAAGCAATAAAGTTACAATTCAGTTGCAGTTCAACAATCTAAAACGATCGACAAACACCTGTTGCCAAGTAGGGGGTCTGAAACGTCTTAAAACTGCACTAAAAGCCTTTGTTGAAATAAGTCTTCAAGAGAAGGACAAGAACGAGAAAGCCTGGCACCACCAACAGGAAGGCCCTGTTTCTGGCACTTGTCCTTTCAACTTCATGTGTTGGTGGGACAGCAAACAGGGTCCTTGAACCTGATCTGAATTGTGATGCAAGTTTATATAGGCATAGATAGTCCTTAAGGCAACTTGGTACCAGACAGGAATGTTTCAGTGTGAGTCGATGTTGTCCTTTTGGACTTGGGTTTAAACTTTTAGTTGGGAAAAGTCAAAGCACTTGGTGAACTCTCTAAGTGGTTTGTCACCAAATGCAGGTCACAGATAAGACATTCTGCCACTTCAAACTGGGTTCATCTGCTAACCTGCATAAACATTAGCTGAGCACATAAAGCTATATGGCAAATTAAGTAATCCGATGAACTCTTGGGTAAGCTTGATTTGGAGGTATGGATATAAAAAGTTCCTGAAATGAGGCTGAAAACCAGTCTTATAATGCAACACTGAAAGCTGAACAACTGAAATGGTCACTGGCTGGAGCACCTCTCCTATGCGGAAAAGCAATATTGGGAGCTTTTCAGTTTGGTGGAAGGGGTATTTATTTTTGGCATGCCTATGCTGCCAACCTAGCAGTTCGAAAGCACGTCAAGGTGCAAGTAGATAAAGAGGTACCGCTCCGGTGGGAAGGTAAACGGCGTTTCCGTGTGCTGCTCTGGTTCGCCAGAAGCAGCTTTGTCATGCTGGCCACATGACCCGGAAGCTGTACGCCGGCTCTCTCGGCCAATAAAGCGAGATGAGCGCCGCAACCCCAGAGTCGGTCACGACTGGACCTAATGGTCAGGGGTCCCTTTACCTTTACCTGTTATGCTGCCCCCATTACCAGAGTCCTCTAGGTGGCTTGATTTTTTAATAGAAAAAGATGTAAACACAAAAAATAAGAATACAGCATATGTAAGAACAGCAGTGGAGACAAAATCTTAGTAAAGGTGGGCAGATGCTTTTCTCCAGGGAAATCCACCGAGACTGAAAATCCAGGATGAGAGGAAGTACTGTACTTCAGACAGTTCAGATAACTGGCATTCACGGCCACAAGATATGACTACCACTAATTTAAGCGACTTAAAGTGGATTAGAAAAATTCATGGTAGGTAAAGCTGATACTGAGATGACTACCTATTCTACCTTCTGATTTGTAGTCTGAACCTCTGAATTTCCATTTGCTTTGGAGCAGTAATGGGAAGAGAGCTGTTGCCCCAGTGTCCTGCTTGTGGGCTCCTCAGAAACATACTTGGCCATTGTGGGAAGGATTCTGGGCAGGACTTTCCTTGCGTTATTACTGCATTTTGGATGTAGGAATATACTGAACCAGCGGAGGGCAGCACTGTCCTTGATTATCTTCCTGTTTTGTGTGTTTTAGGCAAGTTTCTTTGAATGAGCCTTACAGAACATTGGTACCCTAGAGGTGTAGGCCTCTCAACACATGAAGGAGAATTGCCTGGGGGTAGTGTGCTTTTCCCTCACCACACTTGGCAAGTTTCCTGTGTATAAATTTTGCTTTATGCGCAGATTTTCCAGAGCTGGCCCAGGACATTTGGCTGCCTGAAGACAGAGCAACAAATGGTCCCACCCCGCTCACTACTGTCACCCAAGTCAAGGCACAGGGTCATCCAGGCCAGTCAAGTTAATTTTGGCATCTAAGGCCGAAAATCCAATATGAGCCTCTCCCCGCAACTTGGCAGCAAAAATACGGTAATAAATAACAGACAATTTACTGTCCTTTTGAGATGGTCAAAAAATCTGCCTGAGGTGGCCACCCCAGTTGACCTAATGGTAGGACCTGCTCTGGATGGATGGATGGATAAAGGTGAAAACTTAACTTTGCAGATTTTTGGATCTGTCCTGAAATAGCTTGCTTCATTGGTTAGTTGGGTAAGGGCTGTTCTAGTTAATAGAGTTGTCTTAATTCAAAGCTGATGAATATTCACACGCTTATAAATTTCCCCATGATGAGAAATGTATCCTGCCTGTTCCCTCTCAGGCCCTGTCATCTATCCATTCTTGCCACCTTGCTACATGGCACACAGTTAATAGGGGTCCCTGGGGGATAATGGCTTGGGAGGGGAATGGGCAAGAGAAACAGTGGCTGCCTTGGGACCTGCTGCAGCAGGGGATTTAAAAGCATCCATGTTCTCTGACTTTGAACCTGACAGCCTTAATTCCTAGTCTCCCACCTCTTATCCCTCTTAGACTTGACTGCAAAGAACCACAAGTCTTGAATTCCTGGATCTTGGTCCCTTTTGCCCACCCCACTGCTTGTGTGTTTTTGTTAAATTCGGGTGGATAAACGAGGAATTCTGGAGAAGCATCCTTAATCAGTCAGACCATTGTTCCATCTCTACACTGACTGGCAACAGCTTTCCATTGTATTGGGCAGAAGTCTCCAAAATCTACCTGGAGACGCTGGTGATTGAAATTGGGATTTTCTGTGTACAAGGCAGATGCTCCACCACCCATCCTCTTCTGCCTGGAAGTTGGACACAACACTTGTTCTTTCTTTCTTTTCCCGACTCAGTTGAGCTAGTATTTAGCTTATTTTCAGCGATAGGCCTCAGGCCTTTGGCACGAGATAAGGCATAACATGTATCTGAGCATGTGCAGAGTATCCTTTCCAGCACTGAGGAATCACGAAAAACTCCCACGTATCTGAAATCTAGTAGCAAAGGCATAGTTTGGCCTGGCTTGAAGCTATATTTGAGCTTTGCCTGCCTTGATTTAGAAACTAAACTGCCACTTCAGATACAGGGATTGTTGGTGCCATTTCTCATTCTGCCCACCAGGTGGCACTACTTTGCCATGTTCAAAGCAAGAAGCGGGGGATTGAGTGCTGTTTTCATCATACCGGTTTAGCTCTTTCTGTGTTTTCGTAATTGGTTTTGTGCTGATTCCTTGTAATTTTTAGCAAGGTCTTTACTGCCACCTGGTTGGTTTTGCATGATATGCTGGGGGTGGGGTGGGGGGAGAAGGAAGTGAAATTTTAGAGCTGGAGAGGGGCTCTTCCCAGCATCCACATCACCTGCTTCTAGTGTCCAGCTGATTATCACAAGCTCCTTACAACCATATTTACAGCATCCTTTCCACATGGGGATTAGTGCAGATCAGCACTAACTGGCTTGTGGTTAAAACTCCAGGGAGCAAGAGAGCGGGGAAAGAGACTGGTTATATAACCCCGCTTCCTCTCCCCAGCCCTCTTCCTAATCATTGGGCCAAAGTAAAGCTCTGGAAGGAACAAATTGAGTTAGAAGCAGTTGTTGTGGTGGTAAATTCTGTCGGCAGGCACTCTTCACAGGCCACAACCCTCCTCTTAAGATTATACAACACAAATGAACTTGGGACCCATGCAGGCATTACAGCTGCAATAGCAAGCCAGCTGTTTTACCTCATCCCACTTCTGCCTTGCTAAACATCCAGCCTGATGAATTATGTGGATGCAGAAGCTTCTCGCTATTTTGTTATGTTTGGGTTGGTCGTCATGAAGGGATTTTGGATTCCCACCCACCCCCCAATAAAATTGGTAGTTGGACACATGGCTGTGGGTGCTGTGTGACCTCCCCTTTCCCTCTGCTTACCTTATTTAGTGGATTTCTCTCTGAGGGGAAAAAGAAAAGCTTATTTGTCTGGCATCGGAAATAGCTTCTCAGGAGATGGTTTTCAATGTCCCTATTGGAGTAAATGACTGTGCTTTGGCTTGGCCTTCTCCAAGAATGAAAGACAAGGAAAACCTGGACTTTTGCGTTTCCTAGGCCAGCATTACTCCTAGACACCATCCCAAGGCTTTTAATGAGTGATTTAAGACAGAAATCCAACAGGTGAAGCTATATCCTGTGCATTCAGCTAGGAGGGCTTAAAAAGAGAGAGGAATCTAATGGCAACTTGATGGGTGTGCCTTGTTTTAGCGGCCCTGCTCCTGCACATTTAACAGAAGGCAGAAGAGAAGGTGGCATTTGCAGGTGAAAGTTGTCCTAGCACCTCCCTGCTTAGGAAAAGCATAATGTACTAAATTTCGCTGTGTCGTGAATTGGAGGGCTTTTTCTTTTTTAAATGGCAACCTAAAGGGATCCTGGAAGCCAGTGTCTGCAGGGTTAAAGTGGGCAGGGGAGAAGATGGATGCCAGGACTCCTGAGTTCTCTGAAAATAGGCGTAAGGGGAGCTAGAGAATTGGGATTTGGTACTTTTCTGGTGTGCCTTTACCCGCTATGTGCCAAGTACAGTGGTACCTTGGTTTAAGAACAGCTTAGCTTATGAACAACTTGGATTAAGATCGCTGCAAACCCTGAAGTAGGTGTTTTGGTTTGTGAACTTTGCCTTGGAAGCAGAACATGTTCCGCTTCCTGTGGAGTATGTTCCATTTGTAAATTGAGTCCCCCCGCTGCTATGGGAAAGCACGCCTTGGTTTAAGAATGCTTTGGTTTAAAAACAGACTTCCGGAACAGATTAAGTTCGTAAACCAAGGTACCACTGTATAAGTTTAGAAGGGGGAAATTTTCCTGCCCTCTGGTGTTGGCAATATTGGGGAACAGCTTCAGCTGCAGAATTGCTTGAGACAACTAATGCCTTATTGACGCTGGAGCCCTGTTCTGGGGTGGAGAAGCCCCTATAATGAAAATCGCTAGAATGTGCTGAGGAATGATTTCAAGTGTGTGGCCAGAGGCCTGTCAGCAATCCATGTACACAGGCAACATCAGGCTGTGAGGTTCAAAGAGCTAGTTGCGGACGGTTTTTTCTTCCTCTCTGCTAGGAGCTGGGGTGATCCAATGGAAGCTGAACCCTTGGGAGATTCAGGAGCGACAAAAAGAAGCAAGTCTCTGCAACAAGATGTAGCAGTCACCACTGCCAGTTTATCTTTAAAGTTGATGGGATAAATTCATGCAGCATAAGGCTTTCAATGGCTACTAGTCATGATGACTATTTGTCTGTCTGTCTGTCTATCTTTCAGTTATCAAAGGTAGGTGACCTCTGAGTTGTTGGGCTCTTAAGTAAAGTGGAGGCTATTGTCTTCCTGCCTGCTTGCCTGTGGGCTTCTAGAAACTTCTGGTTGGCCACTGTGTGATGGACTAAATGGACTTTTGATCTGATCCAGAAAGCCTATTCTTATCTTCTCATGTAAAGATCTTGCAAGACAGTTCTCAGGCACGGTGATCTCCATTGCCCTTTGGAGAGCTTGGAACAGCACCATATGTTTTTCATTGATCCCGGTAAATCCCTGCTCCCCACAACCTAGATATATTTGAACATACTACTTGTGGCAAAGTATGTTTCACACAATGTCCTTTATTGAAAAACAGACACAGTACATAAATTTAAACATGTTCCCCCATTAGTAAATTAACTACCTGCCACCCGCTCCCTAGAAAGTTACCCCTCCTTTCTTTTGAAGAAATGAAATATTCTAGTGTCAGAGGAAGGAAATCAACAGAGATGCATAAAAGTCCACTTCTAGAAATGATGCCAACTCTAGATATCTCTGTTAGCCCACCCAGCCCTCTCCTCCGGAACAAGCAGAGGGGGAGGTGGGGGGCGGGATTTGTAAGGTTTACATTTTAAATATACTTTTGGGAAAGGCGGGATATGGACTGAGAAAGTATTAACTTTCAACAGGAGCAGAGGAAACAAGGAAGAATGTGCTGATTAAATGCTGTAGTAGCCATACTGGGCTAACCTTTCGGACGAAAAAAATTGCAGGCTCAGTGACCCCAATCCAGGGAAAGTGCAGTTCTAAGCCTGCTCACCTGGAAGCAAGTCCCATAGAGTTCTGTATGGTATTTGCTTCCAAGTAAGTATGTTTATTATCAGGGCCTGCAAGTCACCCCCCTGTCCTCTTGAAATATAGCGGGATATGTTAGCAAGCAGCTTTGAGCCAGGGGAAGCTGGAAGCTAAAGAGACACCTGTGCTACATGTTTAGCTGTTTTTACACTCTTTTCATCCGTCATGGCTTCCCCAGAGAGAACCTTAGAAGTTGGTTCTGGATAAGATTTATGAACTGGGAGCTAATGAGCCAACTGACAGGCAGGACTCCTAAATGATGAGTAGCAGAGAGAACAGAGTGGTACTGGGCGATTACCCAGGATCCTTTGAGAGAGGGGAATGGGGTTTCATAGTATAGAAGTCAGGGCACCTGTTTTGGTCTTTCTATTTTTTTTTTTTAATGTGAGGGATGGAGAACTGAGGGCCAAATGTGGCCCTCCAACCCCGCCCCCAAGCCCTTAGGACTTTCCCTAGATCACACCCTCTTTCTCCAAGTCACACCCCCTCACCTGCCTCACGTCACACCCTCCTTGACTGTTTGCCTGACTCAGGTGTGTCTTTGAACTCTGACAATGCCTCTTTCTTGTCTGGATGGAAGATAGAGAGGGGTGTAAGTCTGTGTGGAAACTGCCCCACTGCACAAACCCAAAATTCCCATTTCTTCCATCCATTTTTGCCATTGGTATAATGCAGCCTTTGGGTTGGAAAACGTAGATTGCTTTTAACAGGTATCCAGGTTATTTCTGGTCTCAAGAGGCCTCTACTGTCGATCCTTTTATTTATTACCTTTGTATCTCAGCCCCCAGGGAGCACAGCGTGACCCCTGTAAAGTTTGCACCTTTTGTCACTAAGCTTCATGGCTAAGTGGAGATTTGAGCCTGGGTCTGTCTGCTCAAATTTAGGTCCTCAACCTTTTTCTCTTATTTCCCCCAGTTTCCTTTCCTTGTTTTGTTTCTGTCCCTCCTCAACTCTTTAACTACTACTACTTTTAAAAAACAAAAACAAAAATACCTGCTAAGGTAAATGGTTCTTATGGCTGCCAAGCCTACATCCCCCATTGGAAAAATCCCAGTAAATTAAAGAAGTGGGCTAGTAGAGAATGTAACAGGGATTGTATTGAAAGGGGCACAAACTTATTTTTGTAGCTGTACTTTTGCATGTTCACACACACACACACACACACACACACACACACACACACACACGGTTAGGGGTGTTCAGTGTCCCCATCTTTCCCATCATGCATACATTTATTCTTACATCTCTGTGTTTTCTCCTCCTCCTCTTCCAACCCCCAACCCCCTATTTTTTCTTTGGTTCGTACTGGATGAGCTTCATTATTGCATCGTTCTTCATCACCCCTTCAATAAACTCCTTTTCAGCAAGTTTGTCTGCAAAAGGAGAAGGAAAAACAATGCATGCATGTAAAATGTGAGCGGTAGAATTACACACAAAAGAAGCAAACAGATAAGCCGAGGCAGCCAGGGATGGGGTGAACTGGGGGAGATTGTGAACCTCTTCCCCCCCACTAGGGCTTTTCCCCAATTGGGGCGCCTGATTTTTGAGGAAGAGATGGGTACAGTGTGTGTGAAGTTCTTTAGCAGCACACCCATTTGTTTATATTTTGGGCATCCATGCAAAAATGGTAGTCCACAAAAGTTGTTAATAATGCTTTGGATTTGTATGGCACCTTGGTCTCCTTATCCTCAGAATTAAGAGCATTTGTAATGTGCAGACAATCTTGTTCAGTAATCCTTGCAACAACTTGCAGGGGGAGTATACTTTCCCCCCATATGATTTGCATATATGTTAATGATGAGTGCTGTAATGCCTTCTGTGTTTTATGTAGGAGCTCACCGAAAGCTGAGTTAACAGTAAATCAAACTTTTATTCTTGATGAGGCCCTGCCACACATAGTTCTGATTCAGCTCTCAAGGAGCTGGACTCCTGGGTTGTCACTGTTTCTCTTTAAGGGGCCACAGGCCAGATATTTAATTGATAATAAATACATTGCAGGTGCTATCTTTCGAAGGTATGTCCCCACCACCGCATCTCTCTTTTGCAAGGCTGCTTAACTGCATAAGTAGTTAGTGATTTGTAGGCACACCTGAGGCCTGGAAGAAACTGTTTCCCTTCAAGTTTCTGAAATCTCCTTTTATGGTTGCCTTGAGGATTATTTCTCCTTTGTCAAAGGCCATCAGGCAAATGGCATTTACTTTTGTCTCCACAAGGTGGGCTATACTGTGTGGAAGGACCAGGTCAAAAGTGGAACACTGTGTGTGTGTGTGTTAACTAATTTAACTAATATTTATAGGACCAGTGAAGTAGTTAAGTCTATCTTTGTTCTGTGATATTTCTCCTTACTTTGTCATTTTTTCCCCAACCTGCATGCGAATGCCTTGTTAAAAACTTTGTGCGAGTTGATAGCTTTACTGCTTTTTAAAGTTTCAGCCTCGTCCCCGGTCTACAGAACATACGGGTAAATCTCTAAGTTTGCATGTGGCAGTGGATTCATCCTGTTTCTAATGCTCTCATGCACTGCACACAAATAGATGTGCGGACACATGAAAACAAAGGTGCCACATTCACTCCTCATTGAGCTGTTTTGGGTTTACACCCATTAGCTGTTACTCCTAAATATTTTTTGGTATTCTTGTAAATCTTGGGCTTCTTCAAGGTCAAACACCAGTGAAGGACTGAAGGTTCTGACACACACACACACACACACACACACACACACACACACACTCTCTATATATATACTGTGTGTGTGTGTGTGTGTGTGTGTGTGTGTGTGTGTGTATATATGCTAACTGAGAAAGAGGTCAATAACAGTGGGCTGGATCCAAGCAAAGTTAATTGCACAAGTTGGGACTAGCTTGTCCCTCTGATTTCAATGGGACCCAAGTGTAACTCGTGCCAAAGACCACTGGGCCACCTCTCTCCATACTCAGTGGCGCTTCGTGAAAGCCTGTGCTCTAGTGCTGAGCTACAGCCACTCAAAATCCTTCTAGCCCACTGAGAGGCTCTGGATCCAACCCCATGTGTTCATATAGTGATAAAATAATCATCCCCCATCCTGCCCTCTTGTGGCAAGAAAAGGTGTGTTACAGACTTAGTAACATGAAAGAAGGTCGCTACCTGTTTCTCCCTTGCCGAAATATGCCCACAGCTTGTTGGCCCGTTTTTGGGGGGTGTTTTCATCATCAGCCAGGGTTTTCTGCTCTTCTGGAGGAATCATCTTAAATATGGCCTGTTGGAACAAAAGGGGGGAAAGATCATAACACAACCACTCATTGGGTCTACTCTGAGCAGGACTTGGCTGGATGCAACCCTTCTCGTGCAGGACAGGGAGCTCTATATATTAAAAGCATCTTTACCCTTGCAAGCCAAAAAAGGTTCCCAGAGCTCTTGGCTTAACAAAAAAAATGGTCCCTGGTCTCGGGCGTACAGTCTAAAAGACATGACACACAAGGTAAAAGAGATGGGGAGAGAAGAAATAGGAGAGAAAGCAAGCTCAGGGATTTAAAATAAACATCAGTTCAGGTAGCCTCATGGAATGGTGATAGTTGATGGAGGGAGTTTCCGTTGCAAAGGCACTTGTCTGCTCGTGCAAAGTCTACACCCTTGTGCTTTGAGCAGGGTGTCAGGGTTAACCAAGTAAGGCCCACTCCCTCAATCCACTTGGAGCCAAAGTTCCAGTTATCAGTTTCTGGAGCCTAAATGATGCACTTCATTTTTCTGTGGTTCATTCTGGCGGCTATTTCACCAGTGGCAAAGGAGGTGGAACGTACTGTTATGAGTTTGTGGGTGCTAGCCACTTCTAATCCCTGGATTCAGCGAGTGTTAAAAGTGAATTAAGGCAGGCTAGCCTCCAGGGCCATTAAGAGAACAAGGGATTAAGGGGCTTGTGCCAGATGGCAAATGAATGGGGGTCCCCTCCAGCAACAGATAAAGGGGCAGGGTTTAGAGTAGAGAGGGAAGGAGTGATGTCACTGAGAAGGAAAGCAGCAAGCTGGAGAGAGAGGAAGAGGAGAACAACATTAGAGAGCAACGTTTGATGTCTTTGTGAATTTAGGGCTGTGGCTATGGAAGAAGCAAGACCCATTTGGGGTGTAAATGCTGTGAACCCCTCCATCCTAAATTCAGGTTCTATATATGAGTAAATGAACCATATGTCATCAAGACACCGCCGTCTCCACTGTGCTTCATTTCCAAAAGGAAACACGAACTCTGTGTGAGCGCCTGGAATCTTGCCCTTCTCAGAGATTGGGATGGCATGCAATAATACTGACTTGGCATCCTTACAGGCAAATATGTGAGTCTGCTGGTGGCATGAAGGAAATGTTATAAGCAGCAGCCTATATGGAGTCTAGACATTCCCTCTCGCATAATGGAAGCAGCGAATAAGTCTTCTAATGTAAAATCAGGCCACTTGGGGAGACAGCTGAGAATCCCAGCTTTAATTTCACAGTAGTAGACACAGGTCTCTTGAACAGAAACTAATCTATTGATAACCCTGGGCAGGGCAATGGAAAGTGTGCAGGGCTAAAATTGAATACACCAAGGCTGATCATTCTTTGTGGAGCCTTGGGTGGTATTCAACCAAATTTTACTGAGACTAGACCCACTGAAATGAATGGCCACAACTAAGTTAGGTCCATTAATTTCAAAGGGTCTACTCTAAGTAAAACTTCATTGAATACCACCCCTTATTTTCCCATCTGCAAAGTGGAAGTATCCCATGTGCCTGTTTCGCACACGTTTCTTGTAAAAGCAAACAAGGGTTGTAAATCATATTGCACCTTTAAAAAGTTAATAGCAGCTACTATTTTATTTTTAACTCCACTCTCTTGGGGGCTTCTAGTGAGGTTAAATGTAGAATATATGTGTAGTGAATTAAAAAAACAAAATCAATCTACTGAATTGGACATGTGTGAGAAGCTTTCTCCCCATGCATACCTTATTAAACAAAGCAAGTTTCTAAGTTTCTAGTCTTCCTGCTGAAAGAAACTGCCAGGAAATATTTCAGTGTGGCTAGTGAATGCTCCAAAGACGACAAAAGGACTGGCCAGAGCTGCTTCCAAGGGGTCAGAGAGAGTTTTCATTGCCCTTCACAACCTCCTGTAGATTCCAAGGCTGCTATTGTTTATAACAGCAATGAGGACCCCAGCTTTCATCAGCCCAGCCAGCATCACATTATTTTTTTATACTTATTAATCGCTTTATTCACTAAAGTGACTCAAAGCGATTTACAACACAGTATAAGCATTAAAAGGGATGTGGGTGGCACTGTGGGTTAAACCACAGAGCCTAGGACTTGCCGATCAGAAGGTCGGTGGTTCAAATCCCCACGACGGGGTGAGCTCCCGTTGCTCAGTCCCTGCACCTGCCAACCTAGCAGTTCAAAAGCACGTCAAAGTGCAAGTAGATAAATAGATACCGCTCCAGTGGGAAGGTAAACGGCGTTTCCATGCGCTGCTCTGGTTCACCGGAAGCGGCTTAGTCATGCTGGCCACATGACCCAGAAGCTGTACGCTGGCTCTCTCAGCCAATAAAGCGAGATGAGCGCCGCAACCCCAGAGTCGGCCACAACTGGACCTAATGGTCAGGGGTCCCTTTACCTTTACCTTTTATAAGCATTAAAACCAATTGCAGCAATAAGCAAACCAACAGAAGCCTAAAAGGGAGCAAGCTCTCCAGTCCCCCAGAAATGCCTGTCAGGCTGGATGCCAAGGCAAAGCAGGAAAGGTGTGAGGGGGAAAAGCTGACTTCACATTGAAGCCACAAGGTTCACACTGGTAAAAAACAGCAAGCCCATCTTTGTTATATAGTCCTAGAAGAGGCAGGGCTGAAGTGGCTGTCATGAAGAGCCCCTGCAGGTCAGAATTTCCCACATCACCAGTGAGTTCCGTGTAGAATGAAAGAGCGTTTTATGGTAGTCGTCTCAGCATTATGGCAAAATATTGTCCAGTTTCCCTCCTTTCCCTGAACTGTTGATCTTTTCATACTGAGGAAGTGTAAAACTCAGAACAGATCACAACCTGGTCTCTGAATGTTGCCTGTTTGTTTCCCTCCATTGCCTTCCTTGAGGACTAGACACCTGCCTTCAAAAAGCATGCCACAGCTTTCCCATAGCTGGTTTACAAACTTCCCCATCAGCCACCTTACCACCAAACCACATTTTTTCCTTTCCTGCCTAAGCCAGTTGTCCTGCTAATTTTGCCAGCATCCTTTAATCAGCTGGGGGGGGGGGGGAATAGATGGTGCATAATAAACTAATTGCCTCGGCTTTATTTTGACATTGGCCTGAGGGCTATTTCTTTCAGGAGGGATTCACGGGCATAGCATAACTTTTGGTTTCTGCAATTAAAGTGGATTAAAGGGTTCTGTGGCCCTTGCACACAAGAAATCCACTTAAAAAAAGAAAAAGAATCAAGCTTTTGGAGGTATGGAAAGTGACAGAAATGCATTGAAATGTATGAACAGGTGCCCAGTGGAAAGACAGATCAATACCCTGCAAGCAAATACAGATGAAGGCTCACTGGCATATAACTGCCCTGCAACCAAATCAGCATAAATGCTCAATAAAGACTTGATATAATCTAACCACCGTGTTAGCTTTGCACAAGCAAATCAGGATTGACTGCCCAGTAAAAATGAATGATTGATGTAAGAAGGCTGCTTACATGCTGATTTCTGAGCATGGTGAATGTGCTGCCTTGTTTCTGGTGTATGTTGAGCTAGACTCTCATCACCTCATCTCTCAACTGAATGCCTGGAAAGCCCGCCATCTTGACACATGTCGAGACATGGCAGCGAGGAGTTGGCATTCCCCATAATGCTAAATGTTTGCATGGGTGAACCAGAAATTGACTGACCACAGTGGCTGCCTGTGGGGAAGGAAAGGTCCTCCCCCCCCTTTCAGTAACAGAATGGAGATTTGGCAGACTTTGTCCAAAATTACGAACAAAATTTGTCCATATTTTCTCATAGGAAGCTAAATTCCAGGGGAAGATGGTAAATTTCACACAAGTAACAAATCGTAGATGTATTCAGCACTTTGAGTTGTACAACTTCTGTTGATTTAGCACCATCTCTGGTAAGATTCAGACGCATATAGTTTTAGCAGAAAGTTTGCTGTGGAAGTGACACAAGACAAGCTACATTTAATTGAATAAATGTACTTTTGCTACTACTTAGGACTTTTCTTTTTTAAGTGTATGGCTTGCCTGAAGTAAGGGAAATGGTGCACTGCCAGTTTCAGCCGTGAGGTAAATGAGCAAATGGCAAACCTGCCCCCAAATCAAACGGTTTTTAGCACTCGAGACAGACAATCCCACATGTGCCTCTCGCTCTCCTTGGTGGTAAAAATACAACAACTATTTAAACAGCTAACAGTTTACTGTGCTTTCATTATACCCCAAATAAGCCGCCTCAGTCAGCCGGATGGTAGGGTCGGCGCTTCAAGCTACTGAATCCCTGATTTGTTTGCTGTCTGATATGCCTGATAAATTGAGTGTAATGGTAGCAGTAGGGAATCACTCACGCTGAGGGAGAAAATAAAACACAGAGAGCCCTAAGTTGCATGTACTTTGCTTTCAATCTCCAGTCACTTTGATGACGTACAGCAAACAAAAAGGGTACCTGTCCCTTTTCAAGAATGACTTTCTACACCTGCAGTCCATCTCACTCTGTAGTATATTTAGGTCTTCAGGAAGGTGTCTGTGTGTCTCTGTCCGTCCGTTCGTCCCCTTTCTAGTTTATTTTTTACCACCCCCAAAGGAGGATTTGGGCTAGTAACTAAGGGTTGCTTTCAGTCAACCCACTTTTCGGGTGTTCATTTATTGAGCGGGGAGGTTACATGACACTGCATCAAACTATTTCCCCCTCACTTTCCTTATGGCAAAAAGTCAGATCATGGGGGTAGCCGTTTGTTGTGCAAAACCTCCCAATCAGCTATAATCAGACAACCCGAATCGCACCTGAAGAAACAACGACAGCCCGCTAAGTCATATTCCAATTTCTCCTTTTCTCTCAGCCTCTGTTTACCCTACCTGTGCTATTCCAATAATCGTGACTTCCCTCACACAAGATTGTTACAGGAATGACCAAACAAAGGAAGCCCTTCTTTACTAATCTATAAATGGATAGACATACTTAGGACAGGAGACATGTTTATGTGGTGGCCCTTCTTCCTGGGAGACCTGTTTGCTAATTTACAAGGGGTCTGTGATCTGCTCACTGGATTTCAGCATGAAGTTTTGCTCAAGAGCGACAGATAACGTTGAAGACCAAGAAGTCTAAGAGAGGCAACCCGAAGAAATAGGGAAATGGATTAATGTACTACAGGAATGGAGGGAAAACGAAGGCAGAGGGTTGTTCGTGTACACGGATGGAACTCTTACTATGTTTGGAAACAAAATGCAGATTTCTCTCTCCATCCATGCAGCACACATAGGAAAGGGAACTCCCTGTGTTTCACACAGCTGTTAATAACACAGGAACCCAGCTAAGGAAAAGCATGTGGCAACACTAATTTAGGGCCTCCACAGACTTCCTTTCTATTGAGTATTTATGCTTATCTGTGCTCCTGTTGGTATTGTGGCAGGTATGATGTGGCCCTGCTTTCAATACGCTTTGCGGCTGCAAAAGTTTCATGGTGGACATACTGTTTTGTGTCCAGTCATTGCCTGTCCTGCTGAAATCCTGTAACTTATTTTACCACAAATGCCCTTTTGTTGAGAGGGGCGTTTTCATTGTGCTACAGTGCAAAGGGGTGCTTCTCCAGACAACAGTCATGAGCTAACCCTGCAGGGGCATTGCAACAGTGCTGGATTTAGGGTGATGTGGGTGGTTCTTCCGCATAGGGCACCAAGACGAGGGGGCACAAAATAATAATAATAATAATAATAATAATAATAATAATAATAATAATACCTATATTTCTACAGATACCTACTGAGAAGATCCATAAAAAAGCTACTGTTACTGAAAGGAATTCATGTGAAAATAAGAAATATTTTGGGGAGGGTGCCAAATTTTGTCATTGCTCGGAATGCCGTATTACCAGAGTCCACCCCTGATTGCAGAACAATGAATAAAGTGGGATGGTGTGCAGAGTCGATCCAGTATAACTTCACCACCAATGCGCTATGGCTGCATCAATGACATGTTGAAAAATATTTCCACACACAAAAACCCCACAGCCCAGCCTGGAGAGGAAAGGGTTACGACAGTGTTCTTGGTACTCTGGAAGAGGAAAGGATCCATTCACTGGTAATTTATTATTTACTTTCCCCACAAACCGAGCTGGAATGTGGATGTATCTGGAGCACATAATTCCTGTGGGAAGGTCATTCAGAATTCCCTAAACAAGTAAGCCTCTGAAAACCAACACCAATACCCCGTAGCGTTTAAGAACCAGGACTTTTGGGTTCTTGGGGAGAGGAATGGGATATCTCTGCACCAGCTTCCCCAGCCAGCTGGTAGGATTTGTTGTACAAACATCTGCACCGTTGCCATCCCTTTCAAATACTGTATGAAATTCTTCAGCCCTTACTGAGATCTCCTCCAAACCTCTCCCCAGACAGACTTTTCTGCTCCTTGTCTCCCCTTTCCAAGGTCGGAGGAAGCTATTCCTCCGGACAAGACAGTTGAAGCGAGGCAAATACTGCACTGAGAGGGTCAGGGATTTAACCCTGCCTAATCCAACTTTAATCTCAGATTGCTCTGCCCTTCTTCCAAGGTTTGTGGCAAACACATCTGCAGGGGGAGTCTAGATCAGCGGAGGAAGGCTGGCAGCAAGGAATTATGGGTTACATATGGGTTACATACTGTGCACAGCTTGGTGAAATCTCAGAGGTGCCAAATTTGTACAGGCACCTTGGCATTTTCTAATGCAAGGCAGCCACTTTTCAGTTGGCCCTCAGCTTAACAGTTTTCCTGAGAAAGGCATTTCCTCGCTGTGGGAGTAGCAGCATCCAAATACTTGCCTACACTCCAAATATTATCCATTTCAGGCCTGTTTAACATGTTATGGATCCCACCACAAACTGAATAAAGGAAACTGTAATCCCTGCTCTGGTAAATACAATATTGTTAACGCACCTGCAAAATTAGAATTCCCAGCCACTTTTGTGGGAAGCCATGATGGTTAAACTTGCTTCAAACTAGTTTATACAGTATTTTGTAATACAGATGTGTTTAGATTTGAGTCTGGACGTGAGGGCGCAATTCTGGGGTTTTAAGAAATATATATGTATTTCCCTCCCTGCTCAAAAAATATATACTGTATGTGAAAATGGCTTCCTATCTTCCTTAAAAGATGAACATTTGCTTGCAGGAATCAACCTGCTGAGGGCAGCTGAGGCCATGAGATAAAATTAGGAGAGGATTTGAACCTGTTTACTCTGCTGCCAATCCAGCTCATCCTGTTAAAGGAATGTAACAGGATTTCCCCTGCCATTGGGCAAGGCTAATTCTATTTTGACACAATGCAAAGCCTTCAGCTAAGGTAATCCGTTGTCATCCCATCACCTCAAGGTGGGTCAAGAGAAAGTCACATGACCAACCATTCCTGCTCCCCTCTTTAACTGGTGCAGCCATGAGTTTCAACATGTGAGGCACCTGCCATGGGAACACAGGATATGTTTCCATGTTGGGGGACACGGCGAAGGAGGCTAGAGATGATTGAGGGAAGAGAGAGCCTGGAGCTCAGCTAGATGGGTCCATGAATGGGTGGAAGAAGAGCAGACATTCTTATAAATTTCCATCTACTGCAGGTGGTTTGGGGTGAACAGAATGCTGGGATAGGTAAGGCCCTGTTTTTCTGACCAAGTGTAGGCCTGAGGCAAGGCTAGATGGGACCAAAATGATCCAAGCGGGGGACCAGAAAAATAAAACCAAAACCCCAATAAGGATTTCAGTGCAGTGGTTCCTTCAGGTAGACTTCCGTGGCCTTGTCTCCAAACATATTATGTGTGAAAAGGGAATATTTTCCCCATGTAATTCCACAACCAGTTTCAGTGCATCTGGTCTTGCAGTGGGGAAGCTCTCAGCCTGGATCTTCCCTGTATTCCCTTGTCGTCGTCCCCACCCCCCGCCTACAAGCCCCCTCCCAAAGCCCCCCCTCTGTCTCGCCCCACACGCCCTCCTCACTCACCGTAACGATCTCAAGAACCTCGTTCTTGCTGATTTCTCCATTGCGGTCCACGTCAAAGAGCGAGAAAGCCCACTCTAGCTTAAGGTTGGTCTTGCCGGTGGAGGTGAGGTGGAGGGCAATGATGTACTCCCGGAAGTCGAGGGTCCCATCATCGTTGGTGTCGAAGCTTCGGAAGACGTGCCGGGCATACACCTTGGGGTCAGAGTTGGGGAAGAACTGGGCATAGATCTTCTCGAACTCGGACCTGCTGATGCGCCCGTCCGGGCACTGCTTCTGGAAGCTCTCGTACCATTTACACAGCTCGTCCTCCGAATACTTGGTGTTCAGCTTCAGGTCTTCAAGGATCTCCTTGGAGAGGGCCCCACTCTTACTATTGCCCATGGTTTGGCTGTACGCTCACCCCGCACCGCCAATGCTCCGAGCTCGTCCGCCTCGTCCTGTTTCAACAGAGCTAGTGGAATGGCTGGAACCTCGGCACCTTCTTATATAGACTCCCTGAGGCGGGGGAAGAGGGTTGAGAGGACCACGGAGCCCTCCACTTGCCACACCTGGTGGCTGTGAGTGTGCATGCGTGCACACACACACACACTATACACACAAAGAGTGGGGCTATTTTGGTTGCACTGATCACATTTGCCCCCAAGCTCTTTAACGCAAGGCAAATCGGATTTAGGCATCATGGGCCTTTCTTGCTCCCTCCTTCTTGATTGCCCTCCTGGCCTCCCTCCTCTTAATGCCTTGCTCAGTGCTGTTTCCGACCATGTGCAAGCCTGGAGAGTGACTGGGGAGGAGAGGGGTATTGGGAAGAACAAAACCATGGGTGGAAGCAGCATACGGACTGGTGATTGACAGATGGACAGAAGACACAGCCGTTGCTCTGTTGACACTTCCACCCTCCTGCAATATTCCCCACTGCTGGGGCTAAAACACACCATGTAGACTTATGGTATAGACAGACTTTAGATAGATAGATAGAAAGATAGATAGATAGATAGATAGATAGATAGATAGATAGGCAGACAGATAGAGCATAGATCAATAAACCATCAACCAGACAGAAAGACACAAAGGCCAAAGAATGGGAGGGAGCTAGGTTTCAATCCTATGCAAATGTAGCTGGGAGTAGCCCCCCAAAACACACACACACACACACACACACACACACACACACACACACACACTGGGACTAAAGTCAAAGCAAGCCTTTGCAAAGTAAGCCAGTGCATAGGGTTGCACTGTTAAGTATGTACCTAACTTTCCTATTGTAATTATTGGGGAAGGAAGGAAACCAACTAAGTGGCTATTTGCAAGCCCAAGTTAAGCCACCTCTTCCCACCTTGATCATTTATTCTATAGAAGAGCAGGGTGCTCTGTTTCTCTGCAAGGTGCTTCATCCTGATTTGTTTGCAGGAAGATTAGACGATGTCAGCTATTTAATGAGCATTTGTTCTGATTTGCTTGTTGGGAGGTTAGCTGAGGTTCCATGAATGCAAACACCACCCCCACATTTTCCAGTGCATTCCTCCTCACTTTTCTTACTGCAAAAAGTCCAGTCTTTCAGGCGAAGTGGGTTTGTTGTGTAAGACCTCCCAATCAATTGCGCAACCTGAATTTGCTGGCATATGATCAAATTTATAATTGAGCAGCCTGAATTTTTTGGCATGTGATCAAATCCCACCTGGAAAAGGGGCAGTCTGGAAGTGCCCCTAGTTTCTTGGTTGAATAGCTTTCAAACAGGTGGAGAGGAGAAAGACAGGTATCTTCTCCCTCAAGGCAAAGGCACACACTGAACTGCAAAAAGGCAGACCCAGATTTCTGACCCAAGCACTATCTGCAAGGCAGCGGGATAGAAGCTTATCATGATCTGGGTCCTGAACATCTCAGGGAACATCTCCCTTATGAGTGTCCCTCTGCCCCCACCCCAATTTTACCTGCCCCAGGCTAATGAGGCCCTAATCCAGCTCACCCTCCCCTAGGAGCACAGCCTTTCCCACTGTGGCATCTGGGTTATAGAATTCTTGCCCTCAAGTGGGCCGTAAGAACACAACAGCCTTCTGGATCAGGCCAGTGGCCCATCTGTTCAAGCATCCTGGTCTCACAGTGGCCAGCTACACAGCACCTGAACACAAGAGCCCTCTCCCCTCCTGTGGTTAGTAAATCCTTTGCCCCCTCCTTTCTAAAAGTCACCCAAGTTGGTGCCCATCGTGGCTCCTATGGGAGGCAGCCCCACATCTTAACTGGGAGGAAAACTTTTCTCTAATGTGCCGTGCTTAATTTTATAAAGTTCTACCATGTTGCCTTCTTGCTCGCCTTTTCTCTAAACTACAGTTGTTTGACATAATCTCTTCTTGGCCTCCTTTCGAAGATGAGTGGAACTGTTTCTTTCCCATCCAGGAATGTAGGAAGCTGCCTTGGGCTGACTCAGACCAGTGACCCATCTAGTTTAGTATTGTTTACACTAGCTGGGACCTGCTCTCCAAGAATTCAGATTAAGCGGCATTCCCATCCCTACCTGGAGATGTTGGGAAATTGAACCCAGGACCTTCTGAATGTAAAGTAGATGTGCTGCTACTTGAGCCACAGCCCGTCCTTCCTAGTGTAGGGTTGCCTTATTTCAAAAAGTGAAGAGTTGTGGAGCTTTTCAAATTTTTAGTTTAGTTTTGCTTTTTTGGCAAATTGCAAAGAACGACACTGCCGACATGGGTCCCAGACATGTTTTTGATTTCTGCCCAGACACTGCTTATGGCTGGACATATGGCAACCCTTTCCTAGTGTCTGCAAGCACTCCAGTTGGAGAACAGCCTTTACCAAAGGTGTCATGGGCTTTGAAGACATGCGAACTCAGGACGCAAGGGAGAAACGTGCCAAGAGGAAGGCACGCTTGGCAAATCCACACCGTGATCAACTCCCACCCTGAAACCAATGTCCCCACTGTGGAAAGACGTGTGGATCCAAAATTGGCCTCAACAGTCACTTACGGACTCATTGTTAAAATCTGTGTTTATGGAAGACCACCTTACTCGGCTATGAGTGATCGCCAAAGAAGAGGAAGAAGAAGCTATAGAGCCATAGATTTGCAGAGTTGGCAGGGACATTGCAGTTACTTTCAATTGCTGGGTTTAGTTGATTGATATATGGTCTTAGACTTCTATGATTGTCAGCTTTTTAAATGCTATGTTAAAATTTCTAATTGTAAACTACCGTAGCATTAATCCAATACGATATAACATTATTACCGGTATATTTCGCATAAGCTGTATATCCACGGGGAAAGTTTGGATAGACTTTGGTGCTGAAGATGTCATACACAACCCCTGGATAGGATGGGGGCAAGCATCAGAAGGAGTCTATATTTAAAAATAGAGCTCTAATAAATATAGACAAAAGTAGTGGGAGGGTGTGGAAAGGTTGACAAGAGCAAAGGGGTGTGTGAATGCAAACAAAAAGCAATGTAGGGGATGTACAGATAAGACAAAGCCAGGGTGGTATAGTGTTGTTTAGAATACAGAATAAAGTTCAGAAAGACCTGGATTCAAATCCCCTATTGTTTGTGAAGCATATTAGGTGATAATCATCACTACTTCTCCACCTAGCCTTGCTCATAGGGTTGCGGGGGGGGGGGGGTGGCAGCGGGGAATGTTATTGCATGGAGCTCTTTGAAGGTAAGCTGGATGTAAAAGGAATAAATATATTTGCAGACTATATGAGTAAGTGCAATGAAGAACTATTGGGTCCGACTGTTCATTGATGGATTGATGGCATTTATATCCCACCTTTATTCTCCAAGGAGCTCAGAAATAATACCCACAGGTTCAGGTCCTGAAAATCAGATTTTTAATCTTATCAAAAGCTGCACACCACCAGCACAGGGTAATGATGCCTGGGTGTCTCTTCCAGGTGAGGTGTTTTACTGAGCACTATTTGCCTGCTGGAAGGCTAGACAAAGTTGTGTTAGAGCAACTGTTATCTCGCCACTGCATCCCCCCCCCTTATTGCAAGTGGGGAAGTGGTTCTGTTGCATAAGAGTGGGATCTTAATTCCACAATGTGGATCTGCTTATATGTGACCGAATCCCACTGGAAAGTAGAAACCGCCTGGAGATACCTTGGGATTCAATCACCTTTTCCTGTCAGGCTATTGATCTCAAGAGGAATACAAAAAGGCCTAGTGCTGGGCTCTCAGACTCTTGCATTCCACTTAAGTCATGGTTCCCTATGGCTCCTATCCCATAATGCCTCACCTGGAAAACCTTGGTGTTCCTTGTGGTCACTACCTGCTGTTCGTGTTCCCTCTTTCAAGAAGAGTCAGACTTATGTTAATTTCTCTCATTCTTTAGGTCAAACTCCTCCCCAGGAATTCCTAGTTCCCAGCCTCCCCCCCTTCTCTAACCAATAGGGAGCACTCCTTTCCCAATGGTGTTACATAGCCTCTGACCGCCTCATAACACCCACCCACCCCACTCTGGTGGCTAATTGCAATGGGCCATGGCTAATTTGTCTGTCCCTTGCTGTCCTCAGCCATATGCTCAATCCGCTTTGCCCATCCAGATCGGCCAGTAAAGCAGTATTAGTGTCAAAATTAATCTTGTCAGGATTCAATTGTGTGTGAGGGGAGGGAGAGACAGAGAGAGAGATCACCCCAAAACCTTAACCCCTCACGGAGGGAACGGGGAGAAGGCTTGCAGCATAAAAAAAGATGGCCCCTTAGTGAATTTCTATTTCTGCTTTAGAGCAAGTGAGGTGGAACCACTAGGAAACAAAAGAGTGAATTGTCCTGAAGAGTAGCACCTGGAAACTGACTTAGGCTGTGTACCTTCAAAGCACATTCAATGCACATTCCCCCCTCAAAGAATTATGGGTACTGTAGTTTGTTCAGGGTTTCTGGAAGTTGTAATTACTTGAGGGGTAAACTACAACACCCCTAATTCTTTAAAGGGAAGAATGTGCTTTAAAGGTATAGTTATGAGGAAGTTAAAGGCACTTCCTCAGACTATCACTTTCCCCCGGCTCAGATTCGATCACATCCTGGGAAATTCAGGTTGCGTGATTATAGTTGATTGGGAGGTCTTGCGCAGCAAACTGGCTTCCCCGAAACATCAGACTTTTTCAGATAAGGAAAGCGCAGGGTGGCACTTATTCTGATGCGACTGTCAGCTAATCTCCCCACAAACAGGTAAAAATGATAATTTAACAGCCAACATCATATGAGCTTTCTGTAAACAAATCAGGATAAACAACAATTTTGGGGGTGTCCTGGTCTTTACTTTTTTTAATATGGCAACCCTACAGGTGTTCAAAAACAGGTAGTCCAGAAGGAACCCATAAGTCCTCTTGGCCTTGTTATGACTTGAGAGATGGAGACGGAGCCCAGGATGATATGAGCCCTTCTCATATCAGCTTCTCCACAGTGTTGTGCAGTAAAGGTGGGCAGTCTTTAGCCTTGAGGTATGAGAGAGACCATGTACAGGAACTTGGGAAGCTACTGTATATGTGGTCAGGCTCTTTGTCCATCCAGGGGCCCAGTATTGTCCACTCCGGCTACTTTCTAGGTCCAGATCTCAGGCAGATAGGATTATACCTTCACCTGTTGCCTCATCATCTTCCTTGCAGGGGCTCTGGGGCTCTTTCACATACTGTGTTCCACATACTAACCTGCAGTCTTATGGCTGAGTCCTGGTTAGCGGGGCTGGAAGGATCTGTCAAATTTTTTTGTCTCAGTTTCTTTTTTCCACCAACCTTAAATTCAGTACAGTGGTACCTCGGGTTACAGACGCTTCAGGTTACAGACTCCGCTAATCCAGAACTTTGCTTCAGGATGAGAACAGAAATCGTGCGGCAGCAGCAGGAGGCCCCATTAGCTAAAGTGGTACCTTAGGTTAAGAACAGTTTCAGGTTAAGAACGGACCTCCAGAACGAATTAAGTTCTTAA